ATAATGACCACCCCCCCCCCCCTAGTCCTGAGTGTGGTGAGGGAGAGGGTCCATGAGGCAGCTTCTCACTGTGTTAATGAAGTGCTGCTGCCGCCGACACTTTACCGCCAAGTTGATATTGAGCGTCTGACCATCTGGAAATCTTGTGTGACCATTCATTCATTCATTCAGATGTCTGTTTGGAGATATTAATGCGAGAACATATTACGTTTAAAGTGCATTAGTTGCAATGTGGTGAAAATACCATTACAATGTAGCCTTAACAGTAACAGTCAAAGTCTACCAAAAATCTGCTCAAATCAGGTTATCCAGACATGAACTGAGTTAGCCTGAGGAAATGTGGTCATACTTGAATGTTGGATAACTTCACTGTTGTTGAATTAATCTAGAATGTTGAAAAAACGGACAAATAAACAAACAGACGGAGATTTGACAGATTCCTACTTAAGCGAAGTTCATGTGGTGGCGGGTAGTCCACTCTACCAGACACTGCATGTACATTGTAAGCTCAAGGAGTTTCATAGTTCTGGGAGATACTGTTATTACTCCCACAAACACCAAGTACAGTACGTTAACCCTTAATGGTATAGCTGTTCTCTCTTAATTAGATCTGGACTTTCTCGTGTGTGAAGTATTTATGTGTTCCCACGGCAAAACAAAAATCAGTCAACATATTTGGTTTATACGGACTGCGCTCGACATAGATTAAAAAGAATTGTAGTTTAATGTTATTTTCGACGAGGTGATATTCCCGTAATAAGAAACTTGAAGTCATAAAAGCTGAAGAGAAAACTTTTCCCAACGATGTTAACTTGTACCTTTTGAGGCCACGTGAAAAATTAGATTGGTTTTCGGATAATTTATTTTTCAAAAACCAGCGAGAAAGATTGGGAATTTTGTCATCTGATTTATTCAACAAACTTAAAACGTTTATGCCTTTCTTTTTCTTGCATGAGTTGTTCTCGTCTGACAAACTATAAAGGTTTTTAAATCATTTAACTTTACATACTTAAATATATAATAATTATTCGACCCTATTACGTGTGTTATCTTCATGTTAAATCTCGTTATCTTTTTAAAGCACAGTTTGATGCTATACTGTAGTTGTAACACCCACCATTTTATACAGGAAACATTTGTACTGCAAACTCGGTAATAAATTGAGTGAAAAGTTTATCTTCTTTTTTTGTCAGTGTTGATTGAATCTTACTTTCTGGAAGCAATAAAATCGATCCGTATGGGATTAAGGACCAGTATTCACTTAATAGATTCTCTGTATTGTCTTTAAATTGTTAAGCTTCATAAGATAGATGATTGATAAATAGTATATTTGTCACTGTGTAGTGTATAACTTTGTCATAGCGTGTCCTCCCTGACACGGGTAACTGTCTACTGTAATCACCGTGGTGATATATCCCCGTTGAAGATTTTGGTTCTTGCCCAGACTACCCGGGGGTTCGTGGTGCACAACCTTGGGACTCATGTAAAAGGTGCATAAAGTTCCAGGACTCTATCTAATTCCGCTTTGAAGCTATGGCCGGAACAGACAAACACACACCTAAGATACCTTAAACATACCCAAACCTAACATAACCTAACATTACCTCGCAGATTAAGTTTAAACACAAAAAGAATACAGCATGCAAAAAAAACATCACAGCAGTACTGAGACCACCGTAACGCGATATGCTGGCTTGACACCACTTTGGTCGGTGATCACGGCCAAAATGTACAACATACTGTATTGTAGGTAGCTAAGGTCGCCGGCGGAAAGGATTGAATCCTGTACTGGTGTCTATAGCTTAGTATTAATATAGTTGGCGCTCTGTAAGATTTTGTTTTCTTTGAAAAATATTTTAAAAGAAAATTGGGATTTATGGTAAACTAATTTTGTTGACTTAGTTTGTGTATTTTTCCAATAGTAAACATTAATTGTACATAGTGCATTTTTACAAAACAAAAATTAATTTTTTACTGATTTATAGATGGATGATCGATGACTAGATATGACATTTGACGTTTCCGGCAGTGTAGTGAGTATTTCTGAGAACAATGAAAACATGATTTTGCTTCCAAGTTACTCACATTGTGGGTAAACCTCCCTGTATACTGTACCTGTCTATATTACTCTTGTCTCTCAGTTTTGTGAACATTGGATCAAGTGAGAAAAAAGACTTAAGGGGGAAGGAAATAAAATGAGAAAGTGGTGCAGCTGTAAATTGTAATTTTGGTCATTAATGTCGCTTTCGAAAACACGTGAGAGGCTTCCGTCCTATTTGTACTTTATTATCCCTTTATGTCACCTCTAAACATACTGAAAGAGAAGTAGCGGTGACATTCACAGCCGGTAGTGTCGTGTGAGAACGTTGTCATGCGTCGCTGGAGAACAACGTGAGGTGGTGGGGGTTGATGGTTGAGACTCCCCGCTTATGAAGTTCTGCTGGGGAGATACTGCCGTGGTGGAGTTGTTGGTGACGCCTGCCTCGTGCCGCAACGCACGCACGTGTTGTGTGTGTGTGTGTGCCAATGAACTAGCCTTTTTACAGTGACTAGCAGCGTCTTGTGTAAATTATCATTGATGGATTTGTATATATGTTTTCCCAAGTAACGAAAATGATCCTCTTTGAAATAAGTAACTGACAGCGTTGTCGGCTATCCTTGGTCAAGTTGCCTTACTGTTTACCATTGTAGTTTACCTGCTCTGTCTCAACCTACAGGAAACTATACTCCCACGGCCTACGTGCACTGTATACCTATCTCTTAAAACTATCTGTTGTTTAAATATTAATATTTTTGTGACACTTTTATACTTTAATCTACCATTAGAAACCATTATAAAATACAAATACAAAAATAAAAAGGTGATAAACGCGGTAGCATTCCAATATGTATTTACCAACACCATATTACATTTAGTTATTCAGATGATTCTGAATGCTATAAAGTAATTCCTTGATATAAATATACAGTATAGTACAGTATATAACAGGTGCCAGATTCAGTGCTCTCACTTGACTCAGCCACGTCTGTTATTATTGACCACCTGTATATATAAGTTTTTATCTGGCTAAATAAACTTAATTGATTTCGTGATAGACTGTAAGAGAGAGTTTAGAGTTAATGAAGACCTGTATGTAAACTACTGAGCAGTAGAGCGGTGGGTGGGGTTGCCTCACGTGCCGTGGTGGTGTGTGGGTGTTGGTGCTGGTCTTATAGTGTTCTGTTGCTTAGCTACCACTGCTAGTGAGTCCTCCCTCACCCCACACCTCCCCACTAACCACAACCTCAATCACTGACGTCCATTCTGCCTTCCGTTCAGTACCAAACACTCACATCCATACATATAAAAAATAACAACATGTTACTGATCTCAAACTAAAGAGAAATATGTATTAATTATGACAGAATTATTTTACTGTATAAGAAATGAATTTATAGAGTGGCTGTTGCTGTTGAATTACCATTATTATCATTACTAATTTGTTATACTCATTGTTATACTCATTGACTGTTTAATATTACCAGGGAAGGCCCCGGAGATGGTTTCCTAACTTACTGTGTATCTCTGGCCAGACTTACACCATGATCTCACTCACTCTCTCACTCCTTGGCTACTCCTGGTAAACTCGTCCAGTAACTCAGTTTATTCATTCCTACTACAAGATCCAAAAAATTGTTGGAAAAAGACTCGGATGTACTCACCATTTTACAATAAGGAATGGTTCGATGTCTTGTAATATCATCCTGATTTATAAGATGAGAATTTTATAAGAATACGTTGTAGAAAAAAATAGCATTAAGTCTTTTTACCATGATGCTCGTCTTTCAACATTAAGCGGTAAAAAAATAAACGTTTTAAATGATGTTAAGGATAGAAATCACCTAAACAAATAATTTTACGATTATAGGAGGCATTTAACACACTCGAGTATAGCTGTCTTATGATATTCAATAACAAAACTACTACAGTATAATAGAACACGTTGAATAATCATATGTTTGTTTACACCATCTGTTATCAAGTGAAGTTGAGAGTTTATTCGTGTTTTCATTACTTTGTTTACTTTCAGGGAAGGATCAGCGCTGTCTCTGCACTGTACTGAAGATGACTGGTAAGTAATTAATATATCGGTGGCATCTTTTGTTTTTCATTATTATGTGTTCAGGTAAATATGTTGAAGAGGTGATTATTTTGTCTTGTCTATTGTGATTTTATCTTATATATATATATCCTTTTTTACATTCTTTCATCGCTTAGAATTTATTTATTTTTTAAACTTTTATTAACATGTCGCCTTCGTATGTTCTTTAGGCCATGTCCTGTAGACCAGGCCATGTCCTCTAGACTAGGCCATGCCCTCTACATTAGGCATATCCTGTAGACTCGGCATACTGATCACTCAAAGACCATTGACATATCAGTCTCCGGCATTAGCTAGGTAGCCCCACGTGGACTGTGGATAAAATTAAGAGAGGTAAACTCCTTGTCCTGGATAAAGTGAGTCATGTTAGCTATTATGCCTTACTGTTGAGCGGGGCACGTTGGTCTGTCCTTGTCCGTCCGTCAGTCCTGGTCTTGTGGGTGCTGTACAAGGTGTCTTCAGCCTTTGTGAATGAATATTAACCAAACTTGCTTGATTTGTTTACACTAAAGATGAGATTCTTGAACTGGTCAAAGGTCATGTTAGAAAAATTGAATTATACTAAAAGAAAAAATATTTTATGCTCGTGTACAAGATATATCAAGACCACAAATATTCAGTAAAGAGAAGTGAAATTATAGGCTTCACTGGCAGGTCAATAGTGGGGGATACACTCGCTACACACGACAGTGGTTATAATGATGGCCTTATACACCAGTGGCGTGACCTCTAGGTGGAGACTTGTTGATTCACTATCTTATTGTACAGTAGAATCATCCTTGCCTCCCTTGATGTTTACTGCCGGTATATAAGTAAGAGATCCGTCTGGTGTGGGGGATGGTAAAATAAACCACAGTATATTTAGCTGGAATCTTTATTATTAAAACGATTTTATAAAAGAATTTAGTAGAGTCCATACAAAAATTCCATTGCCAAAGGTTGGTACAGTACATGAAATGGTATGTTCACTAGCCTCGTCGATAGCATCAACACGATAAATCACAAGGTAAACCTTTAAAAGTGTGTAAGTGTAGTCCACACTACTTCACCTTCTACGAAGCTCACATAACAAGACCGAAAAAAGCTGTGTGGGTCTTGCTCCTGCATCCTAGTTCCCCAGCCAGTTGAACCAAACTCTTTACTGGTGGTATTAATAGCCCAGTGTATGGAGTGTGTGCTTCTTGGTAACACACTTTACGTCTAAAACAGTTATTCCTGTTATGTATAATTTCCTCAGAGTACAGAAGTGTGAATATGAAACTGTATCCTTGTCCCCCGTCAGAACAGATGGGACATTCTCCTGAGATCAACTTTACTTAACGAACTAATAATTCTGAATAACTGTGCCCTGATTGCATAGGCACACGGACATTTATCAATATATACATAAATTTTATATCTTTATTATCATTATTATTTGTTATCTGACAATCTGGCGGAATAGACTGGCTGTGAAACTTGAGAGCAGACATCGGTTATTAAAAATTAAGCCACGTCTAATTGAAAGTGACACATTGACACAAGTCTATTACAGTACAAAGCTTTTGATATACCGCGATCACTCTTTGACACCTGGTTGGCAGTACTAGGTGTGACCTAGGAACAATATTGTGAAACTGTGTGCATTTATCAAAAGGCATATTAATGAATGATGGTCCTGACATCTCGCCAGCCTTCAGCTAACACCCGGCTCCTCGCTGGTGTGGATGAAGCTACACTTAACTCCTGGTATCTTCTTACTAAGCAAATCTTTTCCATAAGATCAACGGTATTTAAAAAAAATGTTTTGACGTATTTCTTTTACGTGAACCTCTGGGAGACCACCCCCGGTATTCAGCTCACATTGTTGCCAGTTAATTGTTTCCCTTTGCAGTATTACCAACTGTGACCGAATGTTAAAAACAGACTAAAAGTAATCGGAGGCAGATAATGAGGGGTAGGATAAGCTGACATCCAACTGTGTCTGCCACACCTGGATGTTGAAGTAACTTAGACACTCATGAAAAGTAGATATGATTCGACTTAAGCAGTGTTTAAAGTCACCAAAATCTTAAGTGTCCCATTGTAAGGGCAGTCAGAGAGGATGTACTGAGGTTTTGAGAATGTTTTGCAGTGTATATCAATGTTTGTCAAGTTGATGTTTCCAGGGTAAGACATGTAAATGCTGCCAAGACCAGATGAAGGGAATAAAGACTTGGAATGTTACTCTATCAAAGGTTATGTTGGAGAGCAGCGGGAATGTATCTTGTTTGTAAATGTAGAAGACACGATTATTGCCCTAACAGAAATTGATGGTAACTGTACCTGTAAGGAAGAAGTTAATTAGGGAAATACTTGAGGATATTTCAGTAATAATAAATGGGAGTTTAAAGAGGAAAATATAAAGGAACATTTAGATACAGTAATGGAAAAAAGACAAAAACAGATAGTTGATTTTAAACAAGATATGAAAATAGAAGGAAGAGAATTAATGTTGTTTATAGTTATGTGTGTTGACTCGTGTTACTCTTGTGTTTGGTGGGAAGCTCAAGTACCAGGACATTTAAGCTTAGATTGAGCAATTAAGTCATCCTCTCCGAAGCTTCACAATACAATACCATGTCAACACTCACGGAAAGCAAACATTAAGGCTGACAGTTATTATTGGTGTGCGTAGTGGCCGGTGTTCCAGTTATGTATTGAACCCTGAATCATATAAAATACAGTTAACCTGAGTGAATGACAAGAAAGTGTAGCGTCCTTGAAGTCAATCTCATGTTAGGTATTTTAGTGTTGGTATATTTAACACCCATGTTTTTCACGATCATGAATTTCTATATAGTTTTTCTTTTTCATCTTAATTAATCAGTTATTGTTACGTTTTTATTATTAGAATGTTTCAAGAGGTTTAAGTTGAATTACCTCGTTTTTAAGTGGGCTGTAACCCTACTGAACTGCTTCCCTTCTGGTGCCTTTCATGGCGTAGTCGAGCCTACTGTACTGTGCCTGTACTATAATTATACCACACTCTATCATCTGTTGTGAAAAAATCAGTACAATTCTGTATTTTTTGGTGTAATTGATTTTAATATGAGGTTGATAAAGTCTAAATCATATACTTTATCATAGGGTCATTGTTAGCATACAATAGTAATCATGTCCTGTCTGGCTGTGACGCCGACATGTCACTTTTAGGAGGTACAGTATTCAATTCCTCACCTCATATTTTTCCGATATGTAGTTTCTTTTTATTATTTTGTCCTTTATATTACTTTTAAATTTATACTTTAATAATTTTCTTCATTTATATTATTTTTTCTTGATCTTCCATCCTTTTCCATCCAGTTTACTGCTTATGGCTACACTACCACGGACTAGCATCATTCCCCACACAAGGCTACACCAGCTACCTTCACAATCCATCCTTCACCATTAACCTCACCACTTCACATACTACCTAGCATGTTGGTGGGAGGGTCACGAGCCACGCCAGTCCAGCTGTGTGGCACCAACACTACTGGCCTTCCCTGCCGTCAGTGTTGAGTGTGGACCTCCTGACGACCCATGCTTTATTCCCTCACTGTCACTGCTCTTGGTTATACTTTCTCCTACTGTGAGAGTAATTGACTCCTCGGACAATTTCTTTAACTGATTGCCTTCGCTACAGCCATTTAACCGATTGTCTCTACTGCGATTTAGTTTATCTGATTCGTTTATGGCGCTCTGTATGGATTCTATGTTTGATATGGCCAAGGAAGTGATGCTGCCGCTGGCGTATTTGCGACAGTCGAGGAGTGAGCAGTGCCTGGTGAGCGCCCCGTTGGTGTCCCGGGATGGGTCTCCTCTGGGGGCGAACTGGGTGGCACCCTCCTCCAGTGACAGGGTGATGAGGGGCAGAGGCTTCACCACACGTACTGCTGGACGAGCCTTCTTGGCCTTCCTCTTCTCTGCCTTGAGGGGACCCTTCTTGATCTGTCGACCCACAACCTGCCAGGGAGGAATATTGCCGTTATTATTTGATTACAGCACACACACACACACACACACACACACACACACACACACACACACACACACACATGTACGACTGACAATCAGGGTAAAATTTCCCATATCTCTTAAATAATAGTCTAACGCATACTGTCGGATATACAGTGAACAGAATCTACATATCTAACACAGTGTATAAAGCTGAAGACACAGACACAAACTTTACACTATGGACACCTAGACTAAGACACATATTTCAAGTATTTATAAGAGAGTACGGCGGCCTCACCTGCAGGTTAACGCCCAGGTATGGAGGGTTGGGGATGGAGCGCTCACTGTCCCGGTAAGCCAGCTCAAACAACCCAGTGTCGGCCGTCTTGTTGTGCTTGTAGTCCACCACCACTGTAACACAATACAAACATTAATTAAGAATACAAAAAATAAGAGATTATAAATAGTTTTTGTTCTTGAGTTATTTCTTGATGTTACATAAACGCTTTTAATACTGTTTGTTTAGTTGCCTTTAATACAGTCTTCCTACGACAAGTTTAACTGGAGGGAAAAGTGATGTGTTTGGTAGAGGTGGAGGGTCATGAGGAGGGTAGCAAGGGGGAGGGAGGGTAGTAAAGAGTAGGAGGAGAGTAGTAAGGGGTAGGAGGAGGGTAGTAAGGGGCATGGGGAGGTGAGGGACGGTAATAAGGGGCATGGGGAGGGTAGCAAGGGCATGGGGAGGGTAGTAAGGGCATGGGGAGGGTAGTAAGGGCGGGCATGGGAGGGTAGCAAGGGCATGGGGAGGGTAGTAAGGGGTAGGGAGGTAGTAAGGGGCACAGGGAGGGAGGAATGGGGTATTGGAGACAACAAATGAGGTCCATTATATACCTTTAATGACGTCATGGAGACACTGGGCACACATACGGCGGGTGACGCTGGTGGTGGCGGCCATACACGGGGAGGAGTTGATCTCAATCAGCCACGGCCTGCCAGTACACAACACACCTTAACACCTGACATCACACCTTAACACCTGACATCATGCCTTAACACCTGACATCACACCTTAACACCTGACATCACACCTTAACACCTGACATCATGCCTTAACACCTGACATCACACCTTAACACCTGACATCACACCTTAACACCTGACATCACACCTTAACACCTGACATCACACCTTAACACCTGATAATACACACCCACACACCTTAACAACTTGACAACACTACATTATTTATACTCGCCTCTCAGTGTCTTATATGAATGCAATAAAAAGTACATAGCTTTATAATAATAGTACCATTGACGAAATATATCTGGTGAGAATATAGTTAAGGTCTATTTAAACCTAATCTAACCTAACCTGACCTAATCTAACCTGACCTAATCTAACCTAACCTGACCTAATCTAACCTGACCTAATCTAACCTAATCTAATCTCTTCACCCATTCTCAGTGATATTGTCCTCTAATTATTTCTCTCGAATTAGGTTACATTAGGTTAGAATATGTTAAATTAGTTTAGGTTAGGTTACGTTAGGTTAGATTAGGTTTACATTTAGATGTTTAACCATCAGGTATAATAAATTGGAGTGCTTAATCTTCACGTGATCCAAACATCTAAATATCAATCCCGTAAGATGACTCTAAAAGACAGTGTGTTTACCTGAGGTCCTCGGTGAGCATGAAGTCAGCACCAAAGAGCTCGAAGCCGTGTTTGAAGGAGTCCATCTCCACCTGGGCGGCTAACATGGCGGCCACCAGAGCATCCCTCATCCCGGGGTAGATCACCTCCTCCCACTTTCCCTCCTTCTTCAGGCCCCTGACGAGGAAACACGCGTCAACACAACACACAGGGATATAAAAACACATTGATAGATAGATAGATAGATAGATTAGCTAGATAGATAGATAGATAGAGATATGATAGATGGATAAATAGATAAATTAGAGATAGATAGATAGTTGATAAATGACAAAGTACATGATAGTAGAGATAAGAAGAGGAATGAGGGGAGTAAGAAGAGGAGAGAAAGAGGAACAGTGAAGCGAAAGAAGGAGGCAGACAGGTGGGCTATAGAATGAAGTAACTCAGGTGCGCTCTCAGATTAATCAACTCACCTGAGGTACTCCTTAAACTGGTGACAATCCCACATGTTCTCGTCAGGTAGTTCCCCGCTCCTCTCGCCGTTGAGATATTTACACTGGATGGCGTTGTTGCTCAGGTGGACTGCCTCATTGTTGTTGGTCAGGTCGTACTGTTGCGAGCAGAACCTCAGGTAGCTCTCCCTGTCGACACGTGTGATGTATGTGTCACCAGGTATACAGGAGTGGTCGAAAAAAAAAAGATGCACAGATTTTGATTTATATAACCCTTAATGACCAGATTTTGGATTTACATAGCCTTTAATGACCAGATTTTGGATTTACATAACCCTTAATGCCCAGAATTTGGATTTATATAACCATTAATGCCCAGATTTGGGATTTACATAACCCTTAATGCCCAGATTTGGGATTTACATAACCCTTAATACCCAGATTTGGATTTATATAACCTTTAATGACTATATTTTAATATTTATGTAGCCCTTAGTGCCCAGATTTTGATATATAACTTTATATCAAGATTTTAATATATTATACGTTGTTATATTTTAATAATCTTTAAATAATGAGTTAATGTCTTGTTAATTACAACCATAACAATAGCAAGTAAATGTGCTGATTCATGGTGGTCTGCAAACAAACTAGTGTGTGTGTATTAAGTGTGATAGTGTAGGTAATAAGTGCGGTAGAGTATATTTCAAGTTTTGTAGTGCATGTATTAAGTATTAAGTGTGGTAGGTACTGTAGTGTAGATATTAAAGTGTGGTAGGTACTGTAGTGTAGATATTAAAGTGTGGTAGGTACTGTAGTGTAGATATTAAAGTGTGGTAGGTACTGTAGTGTAGGTATTAGAGTGTGGTAGGTACTGTAGTGTAGATATTAAAGTGTGGTAGGTACTGTAGTGTAGGTATTAAAGTGTGGTAGTGTAGGTATAAGGAGAGAACTCTTACTTGTAGACCCACACATGTAGAGGGTTCCAATCAGTAACCATAAACCACTGGCGGATGTCGAACTTGGTGTTGTGGATCAGCAGGGGACGTTCTGACGGGGGAACTAATCTAAATAAATTATGAGTACACGGGAGGAACTCATTTAATACCACTCAGTAAACTATAACACTATGTATTTGTGTTTGTTTATACTTGATTATGTATTAATTACTCATTAGACAAAAGAAAAAACGTGTGACTTTGATAAATATATATATATATATTTTTTTTGCAATATACATGGTTAAAGATGTCACGTTAAAGGCTTGTGTATAATGTTCTGTGTTAGGTAAGGAGGAAGGTGTGTCAGCTCTTCGTCAGGGTGTTCCTCTCTCACCACCAACTCACACCTACAGTATTTAGTCGTTCCAAAACAACCTATAGTTATTTTGATTATGTTGATACTTTTGATAATTAATAAGGATAAACTTTCTCAGAATATTGTTACACTAGAAGGCAATGTTTTTGTTATATTTCGTTTTCCTTGTTGCTTGATATTATAATTTATATATACAATGAGTTATTAGATACATTATATTTTTTTTTACACCACTATTATTTTTTTTTTAGTAGTCACGATATCATTTTTAGCTCTGAATTTTATTTTATTTTTGTAATTCCCCCAAATTCGAGACGTTAAATTTTGCCGAGTTTTATCAAGGCAAAAGATGAAACTGTTTTGTGGGTTTACGGAGCCAATGTAAACACCAGCAGGAGGGAGACCTTACCCATGTACTTTTGCACGACGTACTTGGTCTCGTATATGAGCGGGGATTGTACCAGAGCCAAGATCTCCTCCAGGTGGTTCATCATAAAGATCCCGCGACCCCTAGACTGGGCCCCGGGCTTCACTATCCACAGGTTTCTCAGTCCATCCATCGACAGCTGCGGCCAGTAGGGAACCACTCGATGTACAGCTGACTCACACTCCGTCACCAGTACCTGTAGAAGGAGGAGTCTTGAGATAGTGTTGATATTAGTGCCTGTAGGAGGAGGAGGAGCCTTGAGATAGTGTTGAAGGAGGGCGACATAGAATCTTAGGCTCGTCCCATAAAACAACGCCGGCGGTGACTAAAGGCTGGTGAACGATCGCCAGGCGCTGTTTCTATGGACCTGTGTTTCCGGGAGGGATAAAACGCTTGGCTTTGTTGATTATTTTTTGCTGACGCTGGTTAGGTTAGGTTAGGCTGGCACATGGGTGAAAGGTGCAGAGGGAGTGATAGCTTTTTTCCTTCAGTTTTAATATAGTGAATTATCTAATAAACCAACTTGGTAGACTCAGCTCAGAGTAATTACAGATAGATTATTGTTTTAAACCGATATTATTCACCAGGTCACAGCAATTATAGATAACTTTGATCTTTGGTAAACCGATATTGTATATATCAGAGAGGGAATAGTTCACAAAGGGACAACATTAGCCACAATCTCAGGTGAATGGATGTTAAACACGAAGACTGTGAGGCACCGTTCTCTATTTTGTCGTGTGTGGGGGGAGGGAGGAGAGGGGGGGTAAGGGGGTGTCATCGTCAGGGCTGCTTGTATCTCACCTGTCATATCTTCCTCAGGTTCTTGATTCTTAAACGGTCGCATTTCCAATTTTCCTCGTAAATGGTATCGTAAGAATGCGCTTAATTGCTTGACTGAAATTAAATCACATGTTATGGTAGATTAAGTTAGGTTAAGTTAAAATAGAGTAAGTTAGGTTAGGTTAAGGTAAATTAGGTTAGGTTAGAGTTGTTAAACTTTAGGTGAAACAAACTTAGGTGGTCTTATCTTCACCTAACCTAAGAATATTATCAGAATCTTTGAGACTCTGGCCAGGTGGGACGTCTTTTAGGGTGTCGAGAAGACCCATAAAGTGTAAAGACTGATGAAGATTGTGTCTGGGATGTATAGTGGAGGGAGGGAGGAGTGAGCCGGGGGTCCTGAGGCTGTGTGATGCTAGAGTTATTTTTTTAAGATTTGGAGAAAGTTACAGTATATATATTTTTCAAAGTATATAAAGATTAAGTTATTTTCTATGATTTACGGAACGATAGAAGTATATAGATATTTTTTCAAAGTTTATAAAGATAGTTACTTTATTTTTCAAGATTTGGAGTTAGACTTTAATATTTTTTTTTCGTAGCATAAGTGAGTTAGTTAGATGCGTCCTTACATCTCTAGTTGGAGGAGAATTTAACTTGTAGGTCTTTGAGAATTTAGAATTAAGTCATACATGTAGCTACAGAAATTTGGTATCAACTGACAATTCGTCCCCTAGTTTATTTCACCAGATGATTAAATGCCCTAATAACCTAACCTAAATTGACATAATAAAACATCTAATCTAATCTAACCTAACCTAACATAACCTAACCTAACCTAATCTAATCTAATCTAATCTAATCTAATCTAACCTAACCTAACCTAACCTAACCTAATCTAATCTAATCTAACCTAACCTAACCTAACCTAACTCCCAGGTAACAATAGGTGTTAAATCATCAGGAGAAATAATCTACCAGGTTGAATCTTCAGGTGATCTGTTTTAAGGCCTAGATGTTCAACTCTAGGGACTTCTCACTCACATGTTCATTCACCAGACAATCTCAGTGGGTCACGAATGGCCCACCCACCCACCCACCCACCTTTCTACTCGTAATTTGTTCAGGGAAGAGCTAAACTTAGAGTAAATCTCCCGGGTAATGGGTGGCAGACTTGAGAGCTGTTATTACTGCTGCTGCTGAGAGCGTGATGACCGTAGGAGGGAAGGAGGAGTAGGGGTTAATGGGAGGTAGAGGGGGAGGAGGGAGGAATGGAGCGTGAGAGGGTTGGAGGGAGAGAAGGAAAAAAGAAGGTATGGAGGAAGGTAAGAGAGTCTGGATGAAGAAAGGAAGGAAGGAAGGAGGCCCAAGAAAAAAAGAGGGAAGAATGGAGGAATTAACAGAAGGAAAGAAGGAATGCCTGGGGAAGGGACGGGCATGGACAAATATCCTCCCTCCCTCTATCTATTCTCCTCCCTCCATCTCCTCACCCCTCCTTCAGCCAGCACTAGTCACCTCATTCACCTTTCTCTCGGTTCCTTCCTTCTCAAAAACTCCCTCTTCATGTTTTGTTTCACTCCTCGTAACTTTATTGACTTGCCTCGAGTCATGGGATATTTTTAACGCCATTTTAGATTTCTTCTCACTGTTGTTGCTTTAAGTGAATTAGTTAGATGTGTTCTCCTATTTCAAGGTTGTGCTGGACGGGGGCTGAAACGTGTTAATCTCAAAATCAGGGTCATGAATTCTTACTGTTTTATCTATGCTAAATTCTCCCTCATATGTACTAACTACAAACATATATTGATTAATTCTACACTGGTAGTAATTAACTCCACTGCTATACTAATTACCCAGACAACTGCAATGATTACGCACACACCTCTACTTATACACAATACCTGTACTAATTACTCCCACACCTGTAGTGATATCATCTCTCACCTGTACTAGCTACCCTTTACATCCAGAGAAATTACTCCCCTCACCTGTGGCAATTAACCTTTCACCTGTAGTAATCACCTCATCAGCTGTTGTGATTACTGTGTCACTTAAGAGTCATGAGCGCCTCACCTGGAGCTGGACGGGGGAGGCGATCTTGATCTTTTTATCCATATGGACGATCTTGTAGTGGGCGGCGAGGAGGGCGTCCCACTCATGGTCTCTGAGGGTGGGGGGCGGCGGGGCGTCTAGGTCGTCGTGGCAGCAAGACTGGATGTACTGCTCCACGTGGGCCAGCGCCTGACGCACCCTCTTCATCGGCACCTTCAGGAGACGCGGGAGTGTAAGAGGTATTGGGATTAATTCGGAAAGGTCTCCATAGGACTTCAGTAGAGGACGAGGGGGAGGGTGGCAGTGGGTGAATCCAAGTGGAGATTTCTCTTAAGAATTCAAAACATAATAGACGTGTGTTAGGTATACTGGTAACAGGAGGGAGGTCATATATTATAATTCACTACAAATGACAAGAGGATAAGGATTAATCTAGAGGAAGGATTTGTTTAGTATATAGTGAGGGAGGGAGGGAGGGGAGGTGGGACAGAGGGAGGGAGGGGAGGGGAGGTGGGACAAAGGGAGGGAGGGGGTGATAGGAGGGTGGGTGGGAGATAACCACCACGGTTTAGAGAGGTGGTGATGGTTGTGGTGGTAATAGTAGTGATGGTGGTAGTAGTAGTGGTGGTGGTGGTGGTAGTAATGGTAGTGGTGATGGTAGTAATGGTAGTGGTGATGTGGTAGTTGCAGTATTGGTGGTAGTGGTGATGATGGTAGTACTAGTATTGGTGGTAGTGGTGGTGGTGAGGGCGTGAGGTATACAAATAGAGCAGCAGCCACTTTCTACTTTGAGTTAGTTAGAGAAAACGACACAAGGGGAGACTGTAAGATTAAGACTAATCCCACCATCGTATATAAACTACCCGCTGCAGGCTTTACTAAATCTATGAAGAACCAGTAAAATCTGGCTCCTGAAGGTGTTCACGCCGAGGGGATAATCCTGAGGTATGTGGGGGACAGGTGGTGTCATTATAGTGTGGGAGTTTTATGGGTCTTGAGGGAGTTGTTGTGTTTTTGTTTGGCTGTTTGTGTTGGTCGTATATCCTATTGTGTTCCTTTTATCCTGGAGGCTAAGGATATATTATATATTTGTGTTTTTCTTGTGATCTACAGGTACTATATAATTAAAAACTAATCCCGTTCATATTAGTTGATTATTAACATTGTTAGAGTTAGGGAGTATATTTTACTTTAACTTGATATGTAGTTTTTTTTGGTTCACCTGCGGCAGAGAACACTGAGTTATCTCTGTGGCGAGTCTCTTGATCAGTCTCCTCCACTCTGCTGACGTCACCACACTATTGTCTCTCTGTCTCACCATATGATACCGTGAATAAACCGTCTTTTATAACATGCCCTATTGGACAGGTGATTAAGCAGAATTAAAGGTAATGCTGTTTTAACCTTTTTTAGTAAATCTTCTTGTGTGATTGGTTAATGATGGCGGTGGTAAGTCATCTATGTCCTGCGGCCCATTAATGATTGATATCCATAAGACTGGGGTACATTGGGGCCCATAAGAACTGGGTGTTAATCCTAGTATAAAAGTTGGGTTAGGATGGGGCCTACCAGTCACCTACCAGTCACCATTGTAGCTCTAATGATGGGGTGTAAGGAGTGTATGCGTCTCTTGGTAGATATCATGGAGAAGGGGTGAGGTGTCATGGAGGTGTAGGTGTTAAGATGTTAAAGTATAGGGGAAGACATACAGACCTCGCCGTGTGGGTCAGTTACAGCTTGAGGACCGTGTGTGTCGTATCGTTCAGTGAGCCACTTGAGCATGTTGAGGCAGGCTGTGAGGCGGTAGTCGTGGATGAAGGCTGTGCGCTCGTCCTCATGGCCAATACAGTAACCCCGTGGCACGAAGCTCTCTACACTGGCCGCTTCGCTGAACCAATGTAACTGCTGCAGAGTCTCACACAAGCCATACTGTGAAGGGGAGGCAGGTGTTAGGGTGGTCAATTCTCCCACTACTGCTGCAACATACTAATCCTGTACAGTGTCTGCATTAAACACACACACACACACACACACACACGTCTTGTACACTCAGATCCATTAAGTCAGGAATCCTTGGGTCATCATCATTGTGTATCAATAAGCTGGAGCAGAATACACACTTCATCCTCCATTCAGTAACTCCCAAGTGCAGTCATGTTCTTATGTCCTTCTCGTCTTCTAGTGGCCAGATCCTTATGTGATAGTGAAGAATTTTTTTCCTCCTGTTGAGAATACATCGAGGAATTGTGTGATGGATAAGATACAGCTGTGACATTAAACTTAAATATATAGAAAATCAGTAGGAATTGTCCATGAATAAGTGACTTGTATACCAAATACATATTAGCTAGTGTGTGTTACAGCTAGCCACCATTGTCTTATTCCGTTATTAATACTTCAACGACTGCAATCATTCTCCTGGTTGTGATATGATAAGAATTTTAGTGGAAATTGATTGTAAAGTTGTCTCGTCTCTCTGTAAGCCTGCGGTGTGTTTAGGAGAGTTAAACAGTGTGTTGTTAAAAAAAGATTCTCATGTGCAATTGCTTTATCGTGTTCGTAATTATCCTTGTTATGTCTCTTATAGAATTTCAAACTAACGAACCAGGGAAATTGATCGTAAACACACACACACACAGTTAAAGAAACACTTGCACCCAGCTTGAGGCACTTGGCACTTACACCCAGCTTGAGGCACTAGGCACTTACACCCAGCTTGAAGCACTTACACTCAGCTGAGGCCCTAGGCACTTCCTCCATGAGTGCCAGCGTTTGACAATGACAGTAACGACTTACATTGTGTTCCCTAAACAGTTTTTTATTCCTTAAGTGTCTAGCGTCGGTGATGGCTGTGGCTGGAGTAAGAGGACTTTACTGGACTTTACTGAAATTTAGTGAACTTTACTGAAATTTAGTGAACTTTACTGAACTTTATTTGGACTCTACTGAACTTTATTTACTTTACTGAACTTACTGGACTTTATTGGACTTTACTGAACTCTATTAGACTTTATTTGACTTTACTGAACTTTATTGGACTCTACTGGACTTTACTGAACTTTATTTGGACTCTACTGAACTTTATTTACTTTACTGGACTTTACTGAACTTTATTGGACTTTACTGGACTTTACTGAACTTTGTTGGACTTCATTGGACTTCATTGGACTTCATTGAAAGTTAATGGATTTTACTAGACTTTATTTGACTTTACTGAACTTTATTGGACTCTACTGGACTTGACTGAACTTTATTTGGACTCTATTGAACTTTATTTTTACTGAACTTTATTACTGGACTTTACTGGACTTTACTGGACTTTACTGGACTTTACTGGACTTTACTAAACTTTATTGGACTTTACTGGACTTTATTGGGCTTTATTACGGCTATATTATCTAGTATTATTTTGTGTGTCTCTCTCCCGCATTCCTACTCCTCTGTATGTGTATGTGTGTGTGTGTGTGTGTGGTGTGTGTGTGTGTGTGTGTGTGTGTGTGTGTGTGTGTGTGTGTGTGTGTGTGTGTGTGTGTGTGTGTGTGTGTGTGTAGACTAAAACCATTGTATCCAGCCCTATCATCTTCTTCACTTATCTCTCTTCTTCTATAATCTCCTATCTTCTTCTTCTTATCTTCTCCACCTATCATCATCTCCATTATCTAACTAAATTCAATTAACAGTAAAAAAAAACATTATTACATTTGGTTAGGTTAGGTTAGTATAGGTTAGGATGGATTAGGTTAAGTTAGGTTAGGATGGATTAGGCTAAGTTAGGTTTGGATGGATTAGGCTAAGTTAGGTTAGGATGGATTAGGCTAAGTTAGGTTAGGATGGATTAGGTTAAGTTAGGTTAGGATGGATTAGGTTAAGTTAGGTTTAGATAGATCTGGTTAATTTATGTTTGGTGTCATAAATATCTAATTTTTGTACAGTTTTATCACACCTGATTTTTACAACTCTACAACCACAACCTGGATCTATAACCACAACTCTATAACATAACCTTATAACTGTTTGGGGTTTAGTTAAAGGCGCTGGTTTATGATGGTAACAACACGGGTTTACTGGCGTCGAGAATTTGGGTGCCTTTAAAGTTGACTTAAAGGTGTTGATATCTTGAAGGTGTCAGAACTGGTGTGTTTAAAGTGGTCAGGGTGCAGGCGTAGGTGTCTTTATAGTGGTGGTAATGGTTCCTTAATTAAATAACCAATGGTGTATGTTTCTGTCTGTCTCTATTCCTCTGTTTTTAAATGTTTATCTCTCTCTCTCTCTCTCTCTCTCGTGTGTGTGTGTGTGTGTGTTGTCAGTGAATTCTCTCGTGGTAAGACAATCCCCCTAACATATATTTAACTTATAAAAGTCAGTTGTAAGGTCCTTCTTCCCAGCTCTTTACTCTCCATCTTTCTTCCTTCACATTCTCCTTCTGTTTATTGTTGTCTTTCTTATTCCTCTTCTGTTTGTTCTTATTGTTATTTTGTTGCTATTGTTTTGTGTTGGTGTTCTGTTTTTTTTCTTCTTCTCATTCTGTTTTCTTCTTGTTCTTGTCATCTTCTTGTTCTTGTTCCTGTTCTTGTTCTTCTTCTTCTTCTTCTATTCATTCCATTTATCTGCGTTACTTGAGGATGTTTTTCGGGTTATCCACGTTATATCTTATTCTCTTTCCTCTTCTTATCTATTCCTTATCTTTCTTCACATCCTCTTCCTGTTTATTGTTTCCTGCTTTAATCTTCGTTTTGTAAGATTTTTTTTTTGAAAGGTAGGACTTTTACGTACGGTGGAAATAGGAAGAAATGAATAGGGGTTTAAATACGGGTTGTTTTAGTTATTGTTTGTGTGTGTGTGTGTGTGTGGAGACTTCGCATATCAACAAGTGAAAATAATATTGTTTTTCTCAATCAAGTTGTTCACGCAATCTCCTTGAATTTGTATAAAGTGGGGTGTATGTTTATATATTTTGAGACACCCTGTATATTTGGGTGGTGGGTGTGGCAGGGCAGACAACACGCACGGGGAACTAGCTGCTATATAATTAAAAGTCACCACCACCACCACCACTGCTACCTGTTGGCGGATCATTGTTGGTCACGAGTCGCGTGCATCATCTTCCACTACACTAAATGCCTCAACTTGCATTTTTCAACAACGAGTCAAACTACAAAATTTTCTACCCGGATTTTCTCAGGTTTTCAAGTTGAATATTCCTTGTAACTGGAGATGCAAGAACGTGCTATACTGGCTACTAAAACACATAAACGTCCAAAGTTATATCAAAATTGTATTGAGATTCTACCTTAATTAGATAATTCACTTAGTACCTGGGGATACAATTTAACGTATACAGATTTTTTGTGAGTTGACTGAAGAAGCATCTGGCTGGAGACTGTCTTCATAGGACCATATTTCTCAGTATTTGGGGAATGTTGTGTTTTGTAAGGAGGTCAGGAGGGTCCGGGGTTGTGTGTGGAGCCAAAGATAGACGCTAGAGTAGACCAACACAGGTACAACCACTGAGTATTATAACCAGTGTGTTAGTCCGTCGTTGTCGCTTCTCATGTTTCGTTCTCAGGTGAAAATGGGTCACGTAATCCTTTAGTCTCATTAGAAGCTGTGCGTAAACAACACAACGTGGCCAGTACTGCACTTGACTATTTACAATTCCCCAACGGTAGAGTTAGTTACATATTTATAGCTAGGTCGACTGTGGGTTTCTAATGCTCGAACCAACGACCATTAGGACAGCAGGCGAGGGTTGTATTTACTCGGCCGCGGCACCCATTAATGCACAAATGAATTTAGTATGGTAAAAAAAACAAAAAAACATATATGGTGCTATTACAATTTCACCTTTTATGAAATCTAGCCTTATAATAAACAAATGTTAAGTAACCTAACCTAACCTAACCCGTGAGACGAGTGTTACCAAAGGTCTTCATCACTCCTCATGGCGCCAGGGTCCGTGAAGGTGGTGGTGGTGGTGGTGGTAGTGGTGGTGGTGGTGGTGGTGGCTGTACGGCTCTCCTGGTTATTACGTTTTAGTCCCTCATTAACGTCCATTTTCTGTTAAGGTACGTCTCCTTCACGTAATAAAGGAGGGGGAAAGAAGATGGGAGAGACGGGAGAATGGAGTAGGGAGAGCGGAATGGGAAAGGGAAAAAATGGAAGAGGAGGATGATAGAAGAGATGTGGGGGAAGAGGAGGAAGGGGAGGATGAAGGGAAGGAAGAGACGAGGGGAATAAGGAGGGTGTAAGGGGAAGGAAAGGAGAAAGGGGGAAATGGTGGAGGAGAAGGGGAAGGAAAAAAAGAAGAGGGGAATGGTGAAGGCGAAGGGGGAAGCAGGAAGAGAGAAAAGGGAAGGAGGAAGGGGAAACGTTGGAGGAGAAGGAGAAGGAAAGGAAGTAGATGGGAAGGAAAATAGAAAGAGAGAAAAGGGAAGGAAGTAAGGAGTACTGGAAATGGAAAGAAGAAGAAGGGGGAATTGGGGAAGGTGTAAAGAAAATCAAGACGGAAGAAAAGAGAGAACAGAGAAGAAGAATATTATAAAACAATAAAAATGCCGTGACTCAGAGGCAATATGGGACGAAGTTTGTGATGGAGGAGTTTTAATAAGAGTGGAGGGTGGACGCGGTCAATTATGTGAAGTAAGTAGTCTGTGCCTCGCCCGTCGCCACCACCACCACCCTGCAGCCACGCCAGACGGATGATCTGTGTAAGGGAGACGCCCACCTGGTCACCTGAAGATTACAACCCCACCCCAGTAACTTATGTCAGCAGATAATTAACAACTTTAATGTTACTTGGAGGGTTAGGTTAGGTTTATTTACATTCTGTTAGGTCAGTGTTTATCAGGTAAAATAACCTGGGGTGTCTAATCATCAGGTGATCCAATAAGGTGTTTACTGTTGACAGATAATGTGACATATATTACTCT